GTTTTGATGCATGTATGCGTATGATTGCGCACGCGGTCTTGTCCAGGGATGCATGCGGTACCGGCTTGTGCTGCCGCCCGAGTACAACATCGATCCCCAGGCGCTGCTGGAGGAGGAGAACCGGCTTTCCCAGAACGACAGTCAGTTTGGGATTGCGCCCGGTATTGAGGTCGTGTCGTCTGCTGCGCAGGCATACGGCAACATGCCGCCCACCTCCCCGCAACCAGACACGAACGAGGGCTATGGCGTCATCACCAACGGCCAAGGTGCGCGCGCGTATGTGTGTGTGTGTTTCTTTGTTTGTGGGTTGGGGTGGGATATGCTTTCTGCTTCTTGCTATGGCACTGCGTCCCATGTTATGAAATTGCCGCCAGTACGACGACGACGACACAACAACAACAACAACAACAACAACAACAACAACAACAACAACATCATCAACAACAACAACAACAACAACAACAACAACAACATCATCAACAACAACAACAACAACAACAGCAACAACAACAACAGCAACAGCAACAAGCTGCACGCAACAAGCAACGAGACGTACTAACTGGAGTTGTTGTTGCGTGCTCGCCGATAGGCTATGCCCAGGCGCAGGACAGCGACGACGACTTTTCGGACGATGATGACGACTTTAGCGACACGGACGTGCCTGCACACGCGCCACCAGCACAACCTCAGTTCCAACAGCCGCCACCCCAGCAACAAGGTGCACCGGCCCCACCGCCGCCTCCTCCGCCGCCGTCTTCGCAACCCCAGCAGCATGGGGCACCAGCGCCAGCACCGCCGCCGCCGCCACCGCCCATGCCGAGCGGGCAGGATGCGTACTATGGAGACGTCGCGTCGCAGCCGCAGCCGCAGCAAGAGGAGATGTATGGTGATGTGCCGACATACCAGCAGCAACAACAGCCGCCATCACAACAAGGAGGTGCGTGCGCGTGGGTGATGCGCTGCTGGTGGTGGTTTGTGTGTCGACATGTCTTCTTCTTTTTCTTTTTCCTCTTCTTCTTCCGCCTTTGTGCCCTTTTGGTGTGCCATTCAACGCTTCACAATTCTCCTTTCTCACAGCGCACCCGCGTCTGCGCCTGCTTCCTTCTCGTTTCTGGCTGCTTGTGTTTCCGTGCTTGGCCACAAACACAGCTGGACAATGCCGCGTGCTGTATGACTACGACGCCCAGGAAAGCGATGAGCTGTCCATTCGGTAAGATGTTCAGTGCGGCCTACAATACGATGCGGTGTGGTACACACACACACACGCACGCACGCACACACACACACGTACGCACGCACGCACGCACGCACGCACACGCGCACACACACACACACACACCAACAAGCTCACGTTTTTCTCTCTTGTTTTGTCGTGGCAGCGCTGGTGATGTGATCACCCTGACAGACACGTCCGATGACGTGTGGTGGCAAGGTGTGTTGGCAACCACAAACCAAACTGGCATGTTTTCCGCGCGAATACGTGCAGATGATGTGATGTGCAGGCAGTGTGGCATCCCGTGTCACATCACTCCTGTACGATTTGACTTTCTTTTTTCTTTCTTCACTCATTTTATGATCAGCTTTCTGTGTGTGTGTGCGTGTGTGTGTGTGTGTGTGTGTTGTTTGTGTACGTGTGTGTGTGTGTGTGTGTGTTGTTGTGTTGTTGTGCGTGTTCGTCCTTGATACATGAAGGTTCAGCCTACGATAGCGCGTTTAGTGACAGAGCTGGATATCCCGGAGGGGGATCCCCCACAATGGGCACGGTTATTGTACTAGCTTATATCCCACCAGGGTCTTCTGAATGCAGATGACGCAATTGTGGAGTTAAAGGGGTTCATTCTGAGCACACTGTTACGGCCGATGAGTCGTAAGTGTGTGTGTGTGTGTGTGTGTGTTTGTGTACGTGTGTGTGTGTGTGTGTGTGTGTTTGTGTGTTTGTGCGTGTTGCCTTGCATGACGACGACGGCTTGTGTGAAAAACTCAAACGTTCCCATCCATCCATCTTCAAAAATAAAATGCCAGAAGGACGTGCGACGTTTTGTGGAAAGCTTTCACAAACAATCGCTTGTTTATGTTGTTGGTCATGTGCTTGCAAGCAAGCCCCGCAGCAGTAACAAGCAGGAAGCCAGCGAAGAGTAAGCGACATCGCCATTCCTTGCGTGTTGTCCCCCCCCCCTCCTCTCGTTCCCCGCCATTACCAACACGCTCTTCTCCACCACCACACACGAAGCAACGAGTGTCAAGACCAAAGGCGACTAACGCCACACCACTCCCAGCTCTCGTCTTCCCACGAGCGACCCCAATGTATGCCGTCGTGTTGCTGAGTGTGGGAGTTTGGATGTGTTTGCACTGCTTTGCTTGTCGAGTTTGGTGCGGTGCGCTGCGGCACTCTCTGCTCAATAGGCACGCCTGTGTGTTGTGTTGTTGTGTTGTTGGGTTTCTCACACACACCCATACACACACCCATACACACACCCATACACACACACTCTCTCTCTCTCTCTCTCACCTCTCTCTCTCTCTATCTCTCTCAATCTCCTCATCTCTCTCTCAATCTCTCTCTCTCAAACTCTCTCTCTCTCACACACTCACACACACATTTACAATCCCTTGAGGGTATTCAGGCGTGGCCAGACAAGTGCCCGCATCAGCGTCATGTTTGGCGTTCTGGTGGCAGGTGCCCTGCTGCTGCTGCTGTCAACAACGTCTGTGGCCGGCCAGAATGCGACCACGTCAACCCAAACAGGGTTTACCACCACCGCCGCCACCTCAACGACGACGACGACGAGCACAACCACAACCACAACAACCACAACCACAACCACAACCACAACAACCACCACGACCACTACTACCACTCTTGCTCGTGCAGGTTTGTTGTTCGGATACGCGATACCTTGATACTATTTGCTGGACAATGCAAACACATGTCTTCACAAGTACGTACATCGGGCACACACCCGCGCTGACAGACACCCACGCTCATATGCGCTTACGAACACACACTGTCCTCCGTTGCAGTGAGCCCCAAGGTGCAAACTGTAGATGGCAACTTGGAGTTGATTGTCCCGTCCGGTATCGTTGTCTTCCGCGAGGGCGAAGCCGAAACCACTCTCTCTTCGTAAGTACGCTCACCACACCCCAACTCGCTCGCTCAGTACACCAATACCAATGTACTCAAGTTCCACTGTTGTCTTGTATTGCTGGATTTGTGCTGACCTGCGTTCCATCGCGCGTCTGGTCACCTGCTTGCATTGTGCACTCTGGTTCGCATCAGCCCTCTCCGAAAGTTGTCTTACGCCCTCCCTGCCCCAAATCACACACACACACACACACACACACACACACACACACACACACACACGCACACACACACACACGCACACACACGTGCTTGCCTAGTCTTCGCAACGACATTGATGTTCGTGTGGATGCAGTGGATGTCAAGCACACCATGAGCACACAAGTCTTGCGGTCTGATCTCGACACTGAGGCGGTATGCACCTACCTATGCACGATGAGCGCGCGGCTTGGGATGACTTGGTTCTTGTTGTTGCTGCTAGTCTGGGTCCCATCACTAGTTTGTGAAGGATTACTGACCATGCCCGTGGCATCGGGTTTCTGCCCACTCGCACGCACGCACGCGCACGCATGCAGGCAACGCGGGAAAGATCAATTGGCTCCCTTGAGGCAGCCATTGAATCGACGTCCCAGTTTGTCAATGGCAACCTGGCTGGCAAAGCCCAAAGCCTGTGCGTTCCCCCACATGCTGCTGCTTCCCGTGTGTGAGGGTGTGTGTGTGTGTGTGTGTGTGTGTGTGTGTGTGTGTGTGTGTGTGTGTGTGTGTGTGTGTGTGTGTCCCCGCTCTATACCTCTGCTAGAATCCCTTTACCTAGGCTCGTATCGGTTGCTTCCTGCCGTTGTGCAATGATGTTTACCATCGTGTCGCACGCTCATATCCAGCCGTCCTCTCTCTTCTCTCCTCTCCTCTGTCTCACTCTTCCTCCACCTCTCCCACTCACTGACACACTCTCGCACTGCCAACCAAAGGGAGACTGCTCTCACGTCCACAGCAAGCGACATCACAATGCAGCTGACAGACATCACATCGAGTACAACTAGCCTGCACGAGCGCGTACGTTTTCCAGCAAGAGTGTTGTGTCCTTCGTGTCACGAATGTTATGCTTTTGTGTGCATGTGGGGATGCAGTGCATGCTCTGCTACTTTGTGTCTGTTGCCAAATGTTCAATCAACTTCGATGTATCCATGTGTCGCCTTCTCACACTCACTTCGGTCGTCTCAATCCACCGACATACACACACACACACACACGCATACGCGCACACATACGCACACACATACGCGCACACACCGCGCACTGGTGACTTGGGTTTAACGGTGCGCAACAGACCAATGCCGTGTCAAGTGCAATGGCCACAGCACAAACGTCATTGGAGAATGCGGTGGTGTCTGCCATCGAAACGGCACACAACGGAGACGAAAGCGTTGCCGAGCAGGTATTACTTATGAATCGGGGAAGGGAGCCTGCCTCGTGAGCCCACCACTAGCCACAACAACACATACGCCTGCACACACCACACACTCACACACACCACACACACACACACACTCTCTCTCACACCACTCACTCACACACGCACACACGCACACACTCACTCACACACGCACACACGCACACACGCACACACGCACACACGCACACACGCACACACACTCACATTCGCACACTCACACACACACACGCACACACTGACAAACTCCTGTGCATGAATGATATGGTGACCCCGTGCTCCGCTTGTGTGATTAGGCTGCCATGTCCATCGCGCACGTCCTGGGCAACCAAGCCTCCTTACAGCAGGCATTCATTGCTGCAGATGGCTCCTTGGAAGCCAAGGTAGCACATGTCCAGTAGTTATGCACCTGTCGCTGTGTCACAATTACATGCATACAACATGCATTGGCCTCCTGCTGTAACCTCCACCCCGCATCTACATGGCTGACAGACATTCTCTCACCATACACACTCACCAACACACACGCGTGCACACGCACACACCCTTTTCTCACTATGTTTGGGCTATGACAGCTTGAAGCTGCCGAGAGCGGCCTAACCGAAGCCATCTCCGAGGCGATGTCCTCATTGAAAGGCGCAGATACGCAACTCGGGCAACGCATTGATGGCGTGCATTCCGCCACTGTCTCCTTGCACACACGTACAAATGGCTTGCAGGGAGCCATTGGACAGCAATCGCAAGAGCTGCAGGTTCGTGTGCCGACGCTTCATTGTGCACTCTACACGCGTAGACTGACACACCCGCACGCTTTCTTGCTCGGTGTGTGTGTGTGTGTGCGTATCGTTCGCATCGGCTCATCCATATGCTGCCGTCCTTTGCTGGTGCTTGGTTTCCTTTCCTCGCGTGCCGGTCTACCACAGGCTTTGATCACGACGACCGCCAATGATGTTAGGAACGATCTGAATGCTGCCATCCAAAACTCGGCCAGCACCCTCAATAGTGTCATCAACTCGAAGACGGCGCAAGTGTCGGGCGATGTGAATGCACTGAATGCAAAGCTGACACAAACAGAAGCCGCGCTGGCTGCCGCCCGCGATCTTGCCTGCGGCTCGCTTGCCTACGCCACAAACGACAATCCAAACGGCAGGTGCCAGCCTGAAGCCCCAATCGACATGCGGTATCACGGCATGAGAGACACCCGAGATGGGCCCACATCCTGGGCCAATATCATTGACAGGTGAGCCAACAGCATTAGTATGAGAGCATGTACTCCCACCACGCCTGTTTTTTTTTTTTCCAGCTATGTAGCTTGTGTTCTCCTTGTTCCACACACACACACACACACACACACACACACACACACACACACACACACACACACACACACGCGCGCGCGCGCGCGCGCGCACACACAACACGTCCTCGCCTCATCACCAAGCTGTTTGACATCCTTCTTCACCCACGCTTTCCTGCATGCTTGCGTGTGTGTGTGTGTGTATTCCAGGGCCCTCACCTTTGATAAGCAAGGGTCTCAGGGCGAAACTGTCCTCAAAATCTCGTACACAGACACGCATGGCTTTTATGCAACCTCATCCTCGTCCACGGCTGGCGCCTACCGCTTGTTGGTATGTTGTCTGCGTCGTCAACCTCCACCTCCTTGAGGCATTTTTCTTCACGCGCGTGCACATGTTATTGAATTTGTAAGCGTTGGCTCACATGTGTTGTTGTCCACCATTTCATGTACTTGTGACGTTCAAAGGTCAACGGCGAATGTCATCAGAACCGATGCTACAAGTACTTGCACAGGTGAGCGTGCAGAAATGGATGAAACAAGGGGGGTGGCCGTTGTGCTCTTCTTCCCTTCCTTGAGTGAGCGTCTGAGATCCATGCCCACATTGCGCATTGCATTTGTTTCTATTGCGTACTTCATCTGGAGATGACTCGTGAATTCCTCACGAATTATTTGTGACTGCTCATGTGTACATGATGACAGCGACGGTTACGTTGGTTGGAACATCTTTTCAAACACGTGGACGTGGTGGCTCCACGACATCAGCGCTGGCAGACATAACCTCGTCATGCAGGTGCCAAAAAAAAAAAACACACATCCGGCCGAGCAGCCATTCGAAGCGCAATGCGGCAATTTGCTCCATCCCACCCACATGTCATGCATGATGCATGCTCCAATTCAACAACAGCTACAGGCACGCACACACACACACACAACGTACCGGATCTCGCACACACACACACACACACTCTCTCTCTCTCTCACACACACTCTTTTCCCACACACTCACTCACTCATACCCGCGCCTGATAGCACTACCGTGATGCTGCGCGGTCGTCTTACTTCCTTGCGGGGTGGTCAAACAACGCACAAGAGAACCACTTGGTCGTTGAGGAAATCCCTGTTCGTGATGTCACGGTGTCCAAGAATTTTCCTGGTGCGTTCAGCACTTGTTGGGCATTTGACTTGTTCCTTGACTCTCGTACCTGGGTTTCTTGTCATGTGCACAACACGTTCGTGGATTGCGTTTTGTAGCAATGTATTGTTTTGTTTTGAACCCTTCAGCCCTTCGCCTCCTTTCTGAGCTCACCCATGAACGGTTCGCTTGATCTCTGGGCTGGCTCTGCTTCTCCCTGTCATGCACAGATGTGCGCACACGAACAACTTCCTGGACAGACGTGCCGGAACGCGTTGTCACACACTTCAAGCACGACGATTCCACGGATCTGCAAATCATTTTCGTGCGTGCGTGCGTGTGTGTGTGCACATGTGTGTTGGTGTGTGCGTGCGTGTGTGTGTGTGTGTGCACATGTGTGTTGGTGTGTGCGTGCGTGTGTTATGGTGTTGTGTGCGTGCGTGTGTGTGCCTGCGTGCGTGCGTGTGTGTGTGTGTGTGTGTGTGTGTGTGTGTGTGTGTGTGTGTGTGTGTGTGTGTGCGTGTGTGTGTGTGTGTGTGTGTGCGTGTGGGGGGGGGCCTAGCCAGCGGCCTTAACCACTCTGTTTTTTCACCTTGTACTGTGATGTTGCTATCATTTGTAGTCGGAGACGATTGGTTTGAACCAGTACCAGCACACGACAGCGTGCGGATTCCAAGCAATCATGTACGGGCCTGCATACCCAGGCGGTATTAACATTGGCTACCACTACTCCCACAGCCATGGCGGGCGCAACTGGCGCATCTGGCCAGCCGATGTCCAATACTACGCCCAGCGCTCCACGCTCAACCTCCCTCGCGGCAAATACACCGTCAAGCTTCAGTGGAGGCGAGAGGCCGGTGCATATGAGGTGCGTGTAATGAACACGGCTTTGAGTGAGACCGCATCACGTTTTCGTCAACCCATCACCTCTGACATTGCTCTGTCCCTGAACCCGCTGTCACGCCAAGCATTGCCATCCTCACTTATCGTGCCACACGCGTGGTTCGCCTCTGCTTCTTCGGGTGCATTGCAACACAGTGTCTTGCTGGCTGGCCTGGCTCCGAGGCCAACAGTATCGCCATCATTGAGAAACACCCGCAACGGTTGGCCATCGCACCTCCAAACCTCTACTCCGGCTCAACCCGCGTGCGCCTCCCCGACATCCGCAACCGCGGCAGCGCCAGATGGGAGAATGTTGCAAACAGGTGCGCACTGGTTGCGTATTTCCGTCCTCGTCACCCACCATGCATGGAGCGATGAGGGCAAATACAACCATGTGTATGTGCCGTTCATTTCTCACACGCGTTGGGGTTTGCACTTCTTGCAGGGCTGTGTCCTTCAACAAGAAATTCTCGACCAGCATCATCCGCGTCACATACACAGACACGCTTGGGTTCTACGCTGTCGGCCACGCTGATAGTGCGTCATGCCCCCTCCCCCGCCCTATGTCTATCTTTGCCTGTCGACATGCAAGCGTGTGTGCGTGAGTGTATGTGTACACATCTACCTCAAACCTCATGACATCGGTGCTTTTGGATTTCACAGCGTGCCGTTGGCGATTGTTGGTGAACGGAGGATCAACGGCGGGCACCCGCGAGATGTTCAACCACGCAAGTACGGCTGGTGGATGGTAAGTCATCCGAAATGCATCTCCTGTTTTCCGTCTTCCCATTGCTCATTGCGCCTGCAACACGCACGCTGCTGACCTCACTCGCTGAGCATATGTTTGACTTCGAACACTGGGTTTGCAGGCGTATCAACAGTCACACTTACATCTGGTACCCTTCTGTGTCCACCGGAGTGTCTACGTACACGATCCAGACCTACCGCAACCCAAGCGGCGCTTCAGAATGCCTGAACGTGAGTGAGCAAAGCAATCGTATCACTTTTTTCAAAAACGAGTTTTCTCTGTGTGTGTGTGTTTGTGTGTTGCTTCGTGGTTGCCAAACTCACACACACACACACACACACACACACACACACACACACACTCTCTCTCTCTCTCTCTCTCTCTCTCTCTCGCTCTCTCTCTCTCTCTCATTCATGCAGGGATGGTCAACCTCGAACCATTTCCTCCTGGTGGAAGAGATCGTTCAAGGAACAACAGCCTAATCCAGTGGCTTCTCGTTTGCCCAAAATTCATTTCATGCATGATGTGTTTGCCTGCCCTCTTCACTCATGTTTTCAAAGAGCCCCGCGTGCGTTACGGGCTCACTTCTTCTTTGTGTTGCACGCGACCGTTTCTGTTGATGCCCCCATGCATGAAGGATGAAGCACGCACACAACACCCAAAGTGTCAATGGAACAAGCAAGAACACAAGGAGAATGAGCAAACTCAACACGGGCAACACGATCAAATCACAAGACAAGTGCACACACAGTCAACAACGCTGCCAAGGCAACATGGGCAGAGTGTGCACGAACACAAACAATCTAAACAGCGAACAGCATGCATACATGCGCGCAGAGCAATGCTAAGCATGGCATGAATGCTTGCAGGCAAGCATACACAACAGACAACACTTTACAACACTGCATGGCACGCACACATGGCATTTGCCAAGCATGGCGAGCATGCACACACACACCTGGCACACAACTCACGTGTGTAGGGGAAGGAGGAGAGGAGAGGCAGTTGGCACACATGCATGCCAGCAGAGAGGAAGGAATGTTTGCCAACGGAAAACCCACAAAGCAGGTGTTGTTGGCAAACAATGTAGAAACACGACAGGTGGTGTGTGTGTTTACTGTAGGCAAACGCAACAAACAAGAACACAAGGAGAATGAACAAACACAGCAAGCTGCTGCCAAATCAACTCGGGCAGCACGCTCAAACAAACACTAGACAAGTGCACACACAGTCAATGACGCTGCCAAGGCGACATGGGCAGAGTGTGCACGAACACAAACAATCTAAACAATGAGCAGCATGCATACATGCGCACAGAGCAATGCTAAGCATGGCATGAATGCTTGCAGGCAAGCATACACAACAGACAACACTTCACAACACTGGCATGGCACGCAGGCATGGCATTT